CCCCACCCCATCTGGGGGAGGAGGGAGCGAGCAAGCAGCCGTGTGGCGCTCAGTTGCCAGCTGGGCCTAAACCACGACAGTAACTGTGGTCATCTTTCCATCGTCACACTCCAAGCATGGTTCATGCATTTCTTCTACAGAGGCACTGGCAATACACAGTACTCCCTTATTTCTGGCTTTTATATTTTCTTTTCTTTCAGAAATGACCTGCGACTATGACACACGCTGGTTTCCTTTCCACATCTGCAAAGTATAACCACATTCTACATGCCCTTTCTGCAGCACTACCAGCTGCTGCTTGGGTTGAATTTAATGTTAACAAAGCTCCCAAGCAGCATGGAGACGGTGAGGGTGAGACTTTAATTGCCTGTGTTAAGCAAGACAGTTAAACACGCAGTTAAAGCACATGTACAAGAAGAAGACACGTTTGGTCTGACTCCAGCGCTATGAAAGACTGCTTTGGTCTCCTGGGCTGAGAAAAACTTCAAGAAAAACATCTGCATGGAGTTTTTGTTTCTAAGTCTAGAGAATATTTGTGCCTTGGCCGAGTCTGGCTGCAAGTCCTTGTACGAAAAGGCCTAAACCAAGCAATTACCTTCCTTTGATTAATACCTTCTAGTTAGCTAGTCTAAAATAGAGTGGAACTGTTTTGTGAGCTTTGCTCCAGTGAAGGATGAAGTTTTCCACTGAAAACACAGAACAAGAAGCAGCCTTTTTAAACATAAACGTTTATGGAAAATTCTGTGACCATCCTCATGTAAAAATAGTTATTCTGCTTTTCCTAAGACTTTGGATCATTCCCTTCTTTTCACTGTTTCTTTATTATTTTCTTTCCAGTGGATATAAAGTAATAGCAAGGAAAAAGAACAGGCTTTCCAGTTTCATACAGAAAGAAAAGCCTTTGGAAAACACAAGATATAAAACTGAAACATGCCCCAGACTTGTGCTGGAAAATCAAACACAGCAACTCAGAGCAAACGCGAGATCATCGAGAAGAACGAGAGTCTGTGTAGTCATTTCAGGAGGTGACACCTACTGAAGTTTCACCTACCCTCATGCACAGACACTTAAACAACAAGTGTCCGTGTAAAACATCCAACGAACAATTTACCTTTAAATCGCTCCGAGTGGCTGCTTCTCTGTGAAGAGATTGATTTTTCCCTCCGCTTTTTGCGACTGGTCCCCAGCGGATGATGGGATGTCCACGTTGTCTTGCAGGAGGTTCTGCATTCTATATTCTGCTCTAAAACTCCCATCACCCATCACTTACTACACCATAACCTACCTTTTTGGGGTAGCTGGAGCCATTTTTAAGACCTCGGAGCACCACTATTGGCAAGATTGTTCCCTGCAACTTGGTTCTACAGGTTTTTTTAACACCCAGTTGCTCATCCAGATGTATTTAGGAGCTTCGAAATTCACCTGCTATGGTATTAGCAGGTTTTGAGACCTTTTTTAGTCTCAAAGGCCTTTTGCTAAGCCTCTCCTTCATCTGCATTACAGCTGAACTAAGATATTAAGCATTTTCTCCCTTGGGTCATCCATGAGTCTGCAAATTCAAAGTACTCCAGGAGAAACACACTCCGTAAGCTGGATCCACAGGGCTGATCTGGTTAGCACTTTGGGCTGCTGCTGGGAACCACCCAGGTGGGCACCCACTGAGCTCTCTCCACCCTGCAGCCAGGTGCCTCACATTCCCTCTACTTCTGTATCCCACTGCTTTTTTTGTGATGGGAGATCCCAGACACCAACCTCGCCACAGTTTCTGTGGGAGGTAAAACACTTCCTCCGTTATTGTCAATACAGGGATTTTGAATCTGAATTTCCAGTCTACAGCTAGCCAGCCAGCCAGCCTTCCTTCTTTTATTTCCAATTTCACCAACACTGACTTCTTCAGTCCTTCTACCCCTTGAATACTTCACACCTCTCACTAAAGGCCTGCTCGCGTTCCCCTCGGAGCAGAATATGCCAGTTACCAAAGAGGATGTCAGAATGTCAGTGTCTCAAGCTGACAATTGTATTTAACTTCCTCTGACCCCCCCCAGCTACAGATGTTTAGAATAACATTTCAGGAATCCAACGAGGCTGTCCCCAGGTGCCTTAGAGATAACCAGATGTGCTGTGACATGGCTTTCAAGAGGACAGTTCAAATAAGCAGCCAAACTAAGCATGAGTCCTGAACCAACGGAACCTGAACTGTAATCCTCCACATTTCTGGAGTGCCTTCTACTTTAGGATGCATGACAACGAAAGGGACTTTAATTGACTCTCAACATGTTTTTCATAAGTGTTATTTCCAATTTACCAGCTAAGCAAAGTGCAGCATAAAACACGAAGCCGTTGTCCAAGTGCATGGCAATAAAGAGAAACTGCTGAAATAGCTCTCCCCATTTTTATGAGAAGTACAGCTTCTGTGACTGACAAAAGTGATTGTTGTGGGGTTTTTTAATTCATAAATGAGTCAACAGCATTAAAAAAGAGCGAGAATTTTGTTCAGTGGACTATCAACAGATACAGGCTGTCTCTAAAAAGGGAAGTTGAAGAGAAGGGCAAGTTGGAAAGTTTTCCAAGTGCACGTCAGTGTTTCTCAGAGGTGATAAGAGATATCCATCACTATGGAAGCCACTTCTAAGGTAGTCACAAATACGCCCTCAGAAACCACAGGGAATTTATTGCCTCTAAAAAAGGGAGCAACCAACACAAAAAAGTGTTCTCCATGGAAGTAATTCTTTACAGCTACATTCCAGACCTGCTGAAATAAGATGACCATTCCCAAAACAGTCTTTGCATTGTATCACATCTCTAAAAATACACAGTGAGTGTCCATCAAGAGATAAAGAGAAACATCTTTGCTTCTCCCCCTGGGGGAAGGGGTAGCTTTTCCTACACATGTTGTTCCTAGGAAGCCATGTTCATCTCAGGGGTAGTGCTGGCCCACGTTGTGAGCCAGGGTTGCAGGACTGGGAGCTGATCACGCCTCTTCCTCCGCAAAGCAATGGCAGCTTCCCCTCGCCTTCAGTAAAGGCTGTGACTTGGAAGATGTGTGTCCTCTGGAGAAGACAGAGTGAAGCTGCAGAGTCCTCACAAGACGGGTCTATACCGTGGAACATAAAGAAACGCACCCAGTAGTCCTGCTAGTGCCGCAGCAGCAGCAGCGATGCTGCAGGAGCCCTAACCCAGAGAGCCCTCTGCCAGTGCAGTCAATGCACTGATGTCCTTTGAGCAAGCAAGCTTGCTGCTGTCAGTGGAACCGCACCAGGATTCGAAATTAAGAGTTGAAAAAATGCTTAACGAGGTACGCAGTTTTAATTACTCCTTATTTGTCCTATTTTAGATCTCATTTGCCTTGGAGTGTTGTTTTATCTTTCAGGTAAAACTAATGACAAAACAGTTAAACCGATTTCTTTCCTGTCTAGGTCTAGCACAGCTTCATGCCTTCATATTCCAGTTTTTCAGTCGTTTACCTATAGCATTTACGATTACTGCACTCTTGCACTGGTCCTCTTGTTCCTCTTCTGACTGGTTTAGTTCGTTAGTACCTTTAGTTAGAACCAAAGATGCATATATGATATTGAACAGGGAAACACACAGACACGTGGCTCCAACCAGGTAACGTGCAACACTTCCTGATGGTCTTTGCACCTCTACCAGAAGAAAATTTGCACAGAACATGACTAAGTTATGTCACATAATGCTTTATGAATTGCTTTACAACTCTCTCAAAATCAGTGTCGATTCTTCCTGAGAGGAAGACAGGACCTCATCACTGAGAGACTGAAGAAATCGAAGTGCTGAGGGAAGATTTACATGAGGACAAGGACGCTACCCTAAATAAAGTGTCCAAAAGGACATTCAGATTGCATTTGACATGTCTTGCAGAGAGGAGTAAGGTCACACCTCTTCCAAAGACAGTTCCAAAAGGATTTACACATAGGTGTCGCTGAATGCTTTGAAACTAGAATCTGCTGTTCATCTGTGCTCTATTACTCCATTCCCATGAAGAGGAGTTTTACAAGTCTGTTGTAACACCTTAGTAAAAGCTTCACTTAATCAGAAAAATTGACTAGGAGCTTCTTCATTGAACTGTTTCAGCAGAGGGGTCCTGAATGTTAGCATGGCATCCTCTCACAGCAAATATTTAGCGCACAAAGACAAATACAAAAAGATGAGCATTTCAGAAGAATTTATCAAAAGAGAAAAAAATTCCGTGCACAAATATGTAAAATATATGTGCAATAATGCATGTAAGATGAGCTTTGTCACTATACAGGGGTTCAAGAAGATGCCACTACAATACCTGCTCCCAGAGAAACAGCACAGCTCTTCGTCAGGCAGAATTCTTCCAACTTAAGCTGAGAAGGTCCAGCGCAAAGGTCCTGCCTGCACGAAGGTATCAAGAAACTAATCACAAAAATCTAATCACAGCCAAACAAATGTTAGTTAACTGATTACCAGCGGATGCTCTGTACAGTCAAGTTCCTGGAAATAAACCACAGGAGTATTATTTAGCCAAAAATGGACTCTCTGTTGCAAACAGCTCAGATGCCTGTGGAGTCCCTTCCAAACTTAAGAGCCTGAAGTCACACAGGGGCTCCCTGAAGCAGCATTTATCTGGTCACACACATCCAGATGACAGAACTGTTGCTCTCATTAGGACGGCAACTTCTGGTACTGACAAGTGACTCGTGAAATTCCTTGCTGAAGCATCTCAGTTTTGAATGACAGCAATTGAAAAACAATGGAATATTCCCAGTAGAAGAACCAGCTATTGTTTTTAATTGAGAATTCATATATACAGCCTGTGGAACGCGGTGCAAAGAGCTTTATAAAATACAGTGCCTTTTCAATTTATCCCAGTTACTTATACATAGACTGGCATGAATCACTCAGTGCAATCCCCACCTATGTTCCTGACACTGGATTAAGAAATAAGACAACTAGGGTGGTCCAGCCTGAGACTTTCTGTTGTTTCTCAGAGGCACCGAAGGAGGCTCGCTCAGTCACTGTGTCCTGAGACCGAGAGCCTCCCGCCGTTCCCTCTGAACAGTCCTGGAATCTTCCCACAGGCGGGGTCCTCTGATGTTCTCCCAGTTATCCAGGTCAGACTTCTCCAGCTTCTGCAGAGAAACAGCAGAAATAACAGTGTCACTTTGACAGCCCCGTCATTTAAAATACGTATTCTAAATGGTTTTAGTTTTTGCACAAGAAACTCCGTATCATGACCGGGTTGATGAACTTTCATTCTACCCTGCAAGAGAAGTTCAACAACAAGGGAAAATGGGAGTTGCCCATATGGTCACACAAATGACTAGGGTGGGCATTACTGCATCTGTTTATCAAAAGATAAATAACATGTAGGACAGGAAGTCCCATACTATTTGAACACGACTGAAGATATCTTGCATTCCCTTTTTCTTTCTTCTATCACCTTGTTATCCAGATCTGTTCTTCAACTGCAAGTCTGCCAAGTACCGAAGTAGTAGGAGTGATAAGCACTGGTACTGCTCAAACAGGAGATTAGTAATTAGTGACCTGAAGTATCCTGTCAGCACAGATACAAAGTGTACTGGAAAAGATGAATTATCTAGCACAAAGAGAGACAGTAACAGTGCAGCCCCTTTCAACGCATGTGGTTTTAACTTGAGTGAGGTAGATGATGCTTTCTGCTGCCTAGTTTCTCACCCAGCCACCACAGATAGGGCTCTCACTAAGTCATACCTGAGATAGGCTAATGGGCCAAACTGGCAAATACTTAAAAACTATCTAGATTTTAATTAGCTCCTTGCCTACTCCTATCATCTCCACTCAGGAGTACCAATGCCTGCACTGTTTATCTAGTCTTGGAGGCACACAGAAATGAAGAAGAGGTGCCCTCCTGGCTTCACCTACCAAGTGCTGCAGTTGAAGAACGCAGACGTATACTGCATCTTCACAGTCCCACTGGCAGAGACACAGAAGCCTCTTCCCAGCAGACACAGACCTCAAGGCTCACATAGCAGCCTGTGGAACAGTACAGCAGACACGACAGGGCTCTGCCAACAGGAGACTGAGGAGGGGGTCTGCACCACTGCCAGAAACAGGGCAATACAGAATACCATTAATTATACGGACTGCGGTGGCATTTAAACCTCTGATCTGTGATCAGGGCCTCATCTCAGCAAATACTGTAAAAATACACCAGAAAACACTTAGTCAGACATCAAATGAAATTAGGCAGCTTTCAACAGAAGATATATGAGAACACATGCACAAACACAGCAGACTTTCACAAGGTAGGAGCAGTGTTTGTACAATGGAGTTGGCACAGGTCTTTCTGAAGAATTGTTTTCACTGCTTTATACATCTTAGGATTAGCTGGTACTTCATTTCAACTGGAAGGGATATGAGCTGACATGGAAGGAGGGAGAAGGAGGGAAGGTACCCATCACCCCACACAGCAGCGACTATCCCCTCTGATTGCAAATTCCAAATTCAACATCTGATTCTAATGGTAGCTTCAAGGAAGCTACCCTGAAAAGAATCTTGTGCTGTAACAGAAGGGAAGTGTGTCGGTTTTATTAAACACAAAGGTACCACACAGCTGGGAGGATGTAAACCCACCTGGACGTGTTCCTACGTGGTCTTCCCTAGGAAGAATCATCAGGACTAGATGATCTTCAGAGGTCCCTTCCAACCCCTACCATCCTGTGATTCCCAAGGGCACCGAGCTCACAAAGTCTGAACCAGAGTCAACACTGGTTTACCACTACCTGTCTCTATCTCAACCCACCAGATTTCTCACTTTTACTCTTCTGATTCCCTCCCCATCCCACCACAGGGGAGGCAGCGAGCGGCTCTGTGGTGCTTGGTTGCCGGCTGGGGTTAAACCATGACACTACCTCACATACTACTAAATAAAACCTAACCTTTTTCTGCTCGGTCACTGACATGAAAATTCCTATTACAGTATCACCCCAGAATAAATGGCTACATTAGATGTAGGCCAAAGACACGTACATAGCTACATGTTAAATTAATCTTAGCGTTGAGAATAGGACCAAACTGACCTCCTTGATGAGGTGCTGCGAAGTTACACAGCTCCTTCAGACTGCCTGAGCTGTACAGTGAGAATTCAGGCGAGCAGGCAGTTCTGCTCCCAGATGAGGTCAACCTCTCTCATTGAAACTGGTTGGGCCTTTTTAATTTCTTACTTTATTTCTTTTTTTCTTTCCTTTTTAGCCACCTGGACTCTGCCCACTTAACTTCACGGAGACATCACATAAAGATGATAAACTACTGCCAGCTTTTACTGAATTGAAATTCATATGAACTGGCAGTCTAAAAACCAAAAGGCTTTTTCTCCCAATTCAAATGTACTAAACAGTCAATCATTGGAAACTACAACGAAACGTAATCAGATCAGACCAGCACCACTATTCCTGCCTGTCTCAAATAGCCCAAAGGATATTGAAAATTAGCTGTTTAAAGTAACATCAGCGTAGTCCATTAAATCTACTGATTCACTTCCTAAATCAGCTAAACTGCTTCTTAAAAGTACAGGACTGACAGAAACCGTAAATTCAAGAAAAAAAATGCAGCGATGCAGACAGGCACAGGGAACAAAAAAACAGTTCAACTGTTTGTCACACACTTGACTTTTAAGACTTCTGTTAAACAGCTTGTCTGGCACAAAGGCACCAAGAAGGATGTAAAGAGACCTCGACTTCTTAATTGCTGGTTGGAATGCCTGGCTAGACACTAAGTGAAAGCCATAATCCTCTGTCAGCCTTAAAATAAAACAAAGTTTTACAAAGAGTTTGAATTCCACTCTTGCGAGAAGTCTTCACGCCACAATAAACAAACTGAAATCTGCAGAATTTCATTTAAAGCTATTGGTGCTCAGGCTGAGTTAATTCAGGGTGGTCACTCGCAAAAAAAAAATCCTTGGATTTAGTCTCCATTTCCCATATGTGAAAGGAGGGATGAGAAAATCCTGTTTACTTTACAGCCCGATGTAATAAATTCTGCAATGAGCATCACAGAAAGAAATGACTCTAATTCAGAGAGACAATTACTTCCCATCATTACAGTAAGCAAACCCATTTGCAGATAAAAGATGAGCCAGGAAGAATATCCTCCTGGCTGAAAGAGGCAGTGAAAGAAACGCATTAAGCCAGTCTGTTTTTGCAAGGGTATCAAAAGAGCTTGAAGACCATAAAAGACATTTTGAACTCTATGATGAGCTAGAGACGCAGAAGCGCAGAATTAAGGCTAAACACTGAATCTGCTGTCTTGTGTGTGACTGAAAAGCTCAAATTTATCATTACATTGATAGGTTTTACCGGGTTTTTTCACAACTCTTTCCCAGCTCAAATGACACATCATTTTCCTAATATAAACTTGGTGTTACTTACTTTGTTTAGGATGTGACATAATGTAATAGCTGTGATTAGCGATTTAATAATTTGTGATTTAATAGCCTGTCATTAGTGATTTGATCCTCAGATTAGAAAGAAGTGCCTTTTCCAACTAGAAAACGTTTAGGTTTGATATTATTAGCACCCAGGCACGTCAGCAAGGAGCCTGCTACGGCCAGAATGAGGTGGCAGTGTGGGGGGTTTGTTCATTAAGCAAAGAAATGTGGTGGTTTTTTGCACGCAAGTATCCCAAGATCTGCTTTTCTTTTTGGCTTTGCTGAAGACTGGCAAAACCCGCAATGATTAAACCAGCTGAGGTTTTGTTGCTAACTTCAGTGGGATCCAATACCATTGATCTATGGCACAAGTCATTAACCTATGGTGAACTGGTTTAAGAGACTGCTTCCCCCATAGGTTATTTTCCCTTTAATTATGTTAATTCGGCACGGTGTGGGGCTGTGCCCCAATCAGAAAAATGAAACAGATTAGGAAAGCAAACACATACTGTTTATGAATGAATCCTATTTAAGTATAAGACTATTGCAAACACTTGAAATGGCACAGGTGAAGGAATAATTGGATTCCAGAGAACAAAAGCATCTTCAGGTGACTGCGTCGTGTGGAGCCGCACCGCCAATTTGTCTGTGCATCATTTTCCCAGTTTAAAGAATGAGAACAGGACTCGCCTCCACCTCAGAGGTGTCAGAGTTTAATTAATGTTCACAGAGGGCTCGCATCGTTTCGTGTGAAGATGCTATAGCGATACAAATTACTCGGTAAATCAAACAATTATAGCACTCAGTTAAAACTACACGATTTTAAAATAACAGAAAATAACACTGGGCAGATAGTCTTTGATCTAGAAATTAGGGTTGCCATGACTTCTTCCTAACTGACAAGCAGTTTCCCTTCTTAAAACGAAGAACGTCTTAAAACCCACGTGAAACCTCAGCGGATAACCCAGTGCCATGGATGCATTACACCTGCAGATCACTCAGGATGGAGCTTTCCTTCCAAAGGATTCACAAGCTCTATGGATAAAGTCAAGATAATCCATGCACGGGTCATTTACTTTCAGCTTCTCTTCTTCTCTCAAGCAAAACTGAAACTCTGAAACAACCAACATATAAAGAACAGCGTGAGTGCCATAGTACACCTGCAAGATCAAACATCCAGAATTTAGCAAATCCCACTTTTAATTAAGCAATTAAGTACTTTCAGGATAGCTTTCATTCCCCTTGTATATGGAAGTTTTCCCAAGCTATGGTTAATGTGCCCCAGAAAGACAAGAGCTGCTTATCAAGGTTTTGCCGAAATTACAACTTGGGAGACCTAGTCAAGTTAATAGGACCAAGGAATTTCCCACCTTTGAGTGCTGATCTTGCCCGCTCTGTATCATATTAAACTTTACAAAGAGCAGTCCTAGCGACTGCAGCAGAACCCTCCAGAGGAGGAGCAGCCAGGACAGAATTTTGGGATGTTCGCAGGCTCTTTTCAACTATCTAAAGGTGAGCTTGGCTGAGGGGATGTGTGATCTCTTACAGCGCAGGTAGTGCAGTATGAGCAAAAAATGACAGTTCTGGGGCTGGTAGGAAGAGCACAAGGATTTCCACAGGATGGCCCTGTCTGAAGCCCACAAAAGCCTTGTGACACCACAGCGAGGGTTTATTTCCAACGTCTCGCTAGGACTATGAATACTCGGAAGTGCAGATAATTGTTTCCACTTTGCATATATAACATTTCACACAGTACGCCATGATAATCAAAAGATACTCTAATCAAAAAAGAGGTGTACGAGGATTAAAATACGTTAGACCCACGAGTCACACGTGGTGTTTTTTAAGAAGCGATCTTAAAAATGAGCTTCTATTGTGAAAGGAAAAAGCTGTGATGAATATCACAGGGAAAGATTAAGAGATTACCACATGAAGAAATCATCTGTTGCCACTATGAAGTTACTAACAGAAGTGTGGAGGCGTAAGAAACAACTAGAGAAGGTTTACAACGATAACGTCAAATTAAACTTAAATCCAGGCCATTAAACACCTACCTCAAAGTCACCATGCTCCATCAGATCAGCACAACCTTATTAAGCAGTCAGCTCTTCTGAACTGGTCAGTTAAAGCTCCTGCCTCTGTCCTGGCCTCAAGCCGTCCAGGTAACATCCTTACAGTTAGTGTAGTTTAGGACTTTTGTTTCTTACCTACACTTTCCTGATGATTTTCCACTCCTCTCTCTTCCAGAACTTGCTTGTCAGTTTACGTGTTGAAACAGAATGCTTTTCTCTGTGTAGAAACTATGGTTTTGGCTAAATGTTAACAGAGCAGCTCCACTCCTTTGGCCATAAATTGCTTCTTCAGCCACAGCAATGGCTACTGCTTGATTTGTGCTGTTGGGAAAATTTCTCATAGGAAGAAAACTCCTCCTGTTTCTTCGCTGTGGCTAACACCCCCCATTTATTTGATGAAGATAGTAATGAGTGTTAGCTCCCCGCTATCTTGCCAATGACAGTAAAGCTACTTCTCAGCAATAATGTACGGTAAATAAATAACTTGTGAAGAAATTCACCTTTAATTCTGTCAGATCCAACAAGTCTTCAAAATCAAATCAGGAAGACTTGTATCTGAGAAAGATCGAGGCACATACCTAAATTTTTAAAAGAATGAAGAGGACGTTTTAAGGTCTGGGGTCTTTCTACGGTGGGAGGGTATTTTGGTTTTGAACTGCATTGTGCTTGAAGTATCTTTATGTTCACGGCACAGCTGTAAGACAGCACAGCAGGACACTGCTGTCCAATGGCCTGCTGGGAAGATGCCATGCACACAATGGAGTATTACCACTGAACAGCCAACAGCATCTCCCTCAGCCTCTCATTTGGGCAAAACTCAAGTCTTACCAGACGTACCATGAAGTCAGGGGTTGAAATAGGGAACTTTTCCATTCGATTTTTAAAAGTTTGATTATTTAGTCAGAAAGTGTGCAATCTCCATGGTCTGTCTCCATCATCATCTCCATCACCATCATTTTCTGTTTGACCAGTAAGCCTCTTAGGACAGCAGTGGCTTGCTCTCTGACAATAACTTGCTGCTGCAGAGTACAGTTGTAGGGTGTAGTTTGAGCATTAAATAAAGGGGTAACATGTGAGAATTGCATAACAACCTTTTAAAGTATTTCAAACTTAGCCCGAGTGTTCACGTGGGTATCACTTGGAAGTATGCTAGCAGTCACAGGATATTCCAGAGAGTGTTTATGAAACCGAACAACAACAGCAACAACAAGCTAAGCAAAACAAACAGGAAGATATTCTTGCAAAAAGCCACTTTGCCTGATTGCCGAGACAAGAGCTTTCTTCAAAACTGTGTTTTGCTGCATCCTCTTCAGAGGCAGTCAATGAGAGGAATGCAAACAGGCTCAGCTGGGTAGGTAAATTCCCATACGCTACACAAGTTACTTCAGAGATACGTCACACCCAATATCGAGCAGTTCCCCACTGGGGGCCCATTAGTATGACAGAAGTGCTTAATATTTGCACCTCGTCAGTGGCATAAGAAAATGTTCCCAATGCTGCCTGGTAGAAGCTAGCAGCATCCCTTAGGACAATAAATGAAAGGATTCAGCCATGCTGTGTGGATGCCACTTTTCCTACTCAAACTTTATTTATTTTTCCAGACAGCACACAGTGTTGGCTTTTGCATGACAAGAATTGATCGGTTCCTATGGGATTTAAGAAAAAAAAATGCATAAAGGGAATGTACGCAGGTACTAAGGATTCTACTTTGAAGTGAGGAGAAAGGGTGGGATAGATTATTTATAAAAGGTACCTGTACATCCCCATCATGGTTGCTGTCTGACTGCACTGTTAATTGCCTCACTTAATTTTCCATCTATGAGAAATTACAGATTTCACAGATTTATGGGACAAGAAAAGTGCAAATGCAACACACATGAAAGAAACACCTCACAGTTAAGAAAAATTCTGAGCGAAGAGGTGTGTTACAAGCATGACCAGGAAAGAATTTATAGGACTATTTTATAGAGGTGAAGTCCACAAATAAGAGCAGTAAAAAGCGATACTCTTCGAAGGTTCCTGTGGAGGCTGAGTGTTTTACTTCCTGCAAGAAGGCTTTTCCACCAGAGCTCTTCCTGTGCCGTACCCATCACCAAATCCCACCTTCTTGAGTTTTGAACTGGGGCACGCAAGACTCGAGATGTCAGGAAGAAAAGGAACAAACTACAGCTTGGCTGTGGGCTGCACATTCACCCAGAATAAAACGCCTAGCACAAACTTTCCTAACTAAAATCCTGCCCTTCTCTACAAAACATTAAGTGATGAAGACTCACAGTGAAATAAAAACTCTCAACACCGTTCTACCTATGAATAAACTGAAATGCAAGAAACTCCACTCGTCCCAGACACAACCTGCATCTAGCGGCAAGGCTGGACAACACACCAACAAAGAGGCGAGCAGGGAAGGGACAGAGCAACTAAAGGGGTAAAGAACAATATCTCAACCTCATTTAGTGTCACAACAGTCATTAAGAAGGGATTTTTTCCCCAGCATCTTTGTCATCTCTCAAACAGCTCAAGGTATTTTGCTACTGGTGTCTTCACAGATACCGAAGTGAATCAGTTCAACACACTGATCTGTTACTTCTTCAACAATGACAAAATCAGTAATCCTCTGGTACTGGTAAGAGGAGCAACAAGACTTGCAGATTTCAACTCCTGGCATTCAGGAATTACCTTCCTTCTAGAGCAGTCCTCATGTCCACACGCTTCAATGCATCTATTTAATACTACAAATTACTGTGTTCCTGCACTGTCCCTTCCTGAAAAAACAGGTTTCATCCATTCTGCCAGCGCTACAATCCCCGAAGTTAAGTCAAGTGAGCATTAAGTGGCTTGAATCTTTTTTTGAAGAGGTTATTAAAATAACATTATAAAATACTTTTAAGTATTAATATAGAATAAGAAGTAATAATAATATTAAGCGTTAATATATAATATATAACAAAATACTTCTAAGACAGTAAATATAGAGGTTATCTTCCCAAGCCACTCCTCCATACTCTGAGGTTTTGAACCGTCCTGAATAAACATTTTAATACCACAGTTACAATACTTCTGCTGTAATTCTCAGGACAGTTACACAACTTTTGTCCAGAGTTCATGTTGACCGTTTGTGATTTATCAAACACACGAGGAACAAAAATTGCTCAATATTCATCTACTTAGGTCAAGAAAGCAGCGTTTGACTGTTGGCAGACCAGCGTATTCCCTCACTTATCCCATGCTGACTCCAACTTGCAACCAGTTGAAGGAAAACTTTAAAGTTTTACAGCTGTTATATTCTGAAAGACAAGAGAACCCCTCTTAAACCTTAATTGCCATTGGTTCCCATTGGATATCACCTATCTGATTCAAACTTAACTGGTTTTTCTCCATTGTAAAATGTGAATAAATTCTTCTTAAAGATGTTTTTATCTGCTTGAAAAAACCCTGAGCAACAATTCTTTATTTTGGGGTCTGACATAAATGACCGAGGCCAGATTTTTTAGTGTTTACTAGACCACTAATTTCACAGAAGTACAGAAACCAAGTGCCAGAATAAGGAACGTTATTTTGAGATCGCATTTAAACCAATGACAAGGAAAGTAGTGTGACTGTTACCTATCCATGAGAATGGTTTTCACTTGTCACATTAATCAGTTTTTATCCCTCTCTTTCAGACAATAATTTTGTCCTTTCAGATAAAATACTCCAGGCTTTTGTCGCAGGTCAAACACTTGACATTTTTTGCAGTGTGCTCTACAAGGCCCAGCTCAGCAGCAGAACCACGTTCACTTTAGTACCAGTGTCACTAGTGGCCAGAGCCATGATTTATTAGGCAAAGGGGAGCAGCAAGGACTAACTGGTCACATGAGGACACAGAAGTGTGTGAGAGGAATGCATAAACAACAGAGAACACATGCAAAGGTAGCTTGCTCCTCTGGCACGGCCCACGGCACAAGATAAATGGCATTATCAACAGATCTGAGCTATCAAGAAATGCAGGACTAATTACACATGCAAATTCTTTCTTCCTCAAAATAATATCCTGGCCAGAAATACTCCTATATGAAATAAAGGAAATTCTGTATAGTTTGAGAAAATAT